TATATAATATTTATGTGTATTCAGAAGAGATTTGATACTAACAGTACACTGCTGTTGCAGAAATAGAAACGTTATGTATAACAAAGAAAAATGTATAATAAAAAATAAATTAAAAAAGGAGTTGTTTTCAGGCGTGGCCTGCTGGAGGCTTTGGAGCTGAGACAAAGCAGACGGCCCTCCTCCCTTATATTCCCAAGAAGGCAAATCGAAGTATAGAATAGATAGGCACCAGGAAAAAGGCTATAAACTAAAGAACGCACCCAGGCTCCCTGCCCATCAGAAAGGCAGCATCCCAATAGGGGTCTGACACAGCATTCTTTCATTTCCCCAAACCAAACTCTTGACCAGTCCACCAGCAGCCAATATGATGCCACAAGGTTGTTATGGAAACCTCAAGGTGCTAGGCAGATAAGAGTTCACCCTCAGGGCACAATGGTCTTGAAATCAGGCTGGAACTGGCTGGAAGGGAGTCCGCTCTGTCTCCGAAGGCATTCCCTCTCCCTAATTCTCAAGCAGTTACAGCAAAAACAAAAGCTAATAAAAATACAGCAAGCCTCCTCCCCCACCTTCCAATAGAATGGCAGAACACGATGGTGGGCCTAACATGCTATTCCCTGAACAGCGATGTCAGTCCTGGAGAACAGAACAAAACAAACAGGGAAAGAAAAAACATAAACAAAAGAAATGTCATTTGGATTTGTCAGGAAGAAACATAAACAAGAGAAATGTCATTTGTTATGGAAGTGTTTGATAAGTTTAGGAGCTCTAACAGGTGATGGTCAATCCATTCATTCTGTGAGCTGTTGGGAGATCTTTTCATGGCACCAAGTACGGAAGGGTTCCCCTATGCTTACAGGAATTTAGAATTTCCCAGATTTCAAAGTGTTGTTCCCCTTCTATCATTAAAGTTTCCAGGGCTGGTAGAGGTTTAGGTCTAAGGGGAAAAGTGACCTCAGGCTTTAATAAGCTGCAATGAAACATGGGGTGAACTCATCAAAGGTACTTGGATAATTCTAATTCTACAGTCACTGGGTTAATGATCCATTTAATTGGGAAAGGCCCTATAAACCTAGGTCCCAGCTTGTTTGATGATTGTAAATGTTGCAGGAAGTGTGTGGAAAGGTAAACTTGATCACCAAACTTAAATGGCTGGGATTCTTGACGCTTCTTGTTGGCTTGCTTCTTATATGCCGCGCGAGCATTTGCCAGAGCCTTTCTCACCACTGACACGTGTTTCGCAGTTGAAAAACCCATTCTTTCAGTGACACGACTGGGAAGGTTAAGGCATAGGGTTGAAGTCCTGTCCAGTAGCTACTCTAAAAGGGCCAAATCCTGTGCTACTATGCAAGGAATTATTGTATGCCACTTCAGCAAAGGGCAACAAATCAGTCCAACTATCTTGCTGATAATTGATATAACATCTGAGATATTGTTCCAGCACTGAGTTTATATGTTCATACCTCCCATTAGTTGAGGATGATCTTGAACTCAGCCCCTGCTCAGTCCCCAGTAATTTAAGAAATGCCCTCCAAAACTTTTGAATTGCACCCCTCTGTCTATAGGAGTGCAATGTAATCTACAGACATAGTGCAAAAATAGTTTGCCCATGCTGAAAGGATCTTCTGACAGGGGACAAAATGCACTTGCTTAGAAAATAAATCAGTTATCACCCATATAACAGTATTCTCAGAGCTTTCTAGAAGCTCCATGATAAAATCCATTGAAATCTCTCTCCAGGGTACTGAAAGCTCTGCTGGTTGAAGGAGCCCAGGGCTTTGGCTGAGGCACAGATGGGGCAACTTGCCACATGACTTTCAATTATTTTTTCAGAGATGGCCACTAAAACTGTCTTTTGATTAAGTGTAAATTCTCTACAAAGCTGAAGTGTCCAGTAGACTTGGAGTCATGGCTTTTCACTAGCCATGTCTCTGGCTCTCCGGTACATATATTTTAGATCTCACCCTGGCTGTCCTGGATTGAACAAATGTTTCCATGACTTTGAAACCATTTATCATCTTTCAGGGCAGTTTTAAATGCAGCTATCACCTCATTGTCAATTTGTTGGTTTTCTTTCACTTGCGTTGGGTGGTCACTTGGACCACCAGTTGTTTGGATGAGAGTAGAGGTTTGACTACTTCTGCTTTAGGGCAATTGAATTGATAATGCATCAGCCAGATGTTCCCCCCTCTTGGGAGGTAGTGCAATGTGATATTGAAGCAGTTAAAGTATTGCACCTATTGCACCTGCTTAGAAGGGGTTTTAGTGCCTCTAGGTTCTTGTAGTCAGTCCATACTTTGAAAGGCACTTTGCTCCCTTTAAGGAAGTGCCTCCATGTTAGGAGTGCCCTCCTTTTTCCATACTGCCCACCTTTGCTTGTTTGCTAACAATTTCCTGGGAGTGTAAGTGAAAGGTTCTACCTGTCTGCCCTCATTCTTTTGAAGCAACATAGCTCCCACATCCACATTGCTAGCATCAGGCTAGATGACAAAAAGGGTGTTTGGATTGGGGTGCTTCAGGACCAGTTTGGCTGCAAACAGATGTTTGAGCTTCTCAACTGCTGCTTGGCATTCCAAAGTCCATTTAAGAGGCTGGGTTTAGGTTTATCTACCAATTTTGTCTTATGCAAGTTAGTGATGGGGACTGTGATCTGTGCAAATGATAAGATGAATTGTTGGTAAAAGTTAGTGGTCTAAGAAGCTCTGTAGCTGCTTTCTGGTTCAGAGTTGGACCTATGATAATTTGGATAGGCCTGTGGTCGTCATAGAGATGAACTCTTAAGAACTCTTAAGCCATTTCTAAGGCTGACTTTAGGAAAGATTGAAGTCACCAGAACCATAAATTTGGGGAAATCTAATGACAACACTGAAATGGCCTCTAAAGGTTCAGACAAAGAAGTTGCTATGTAGCAGAGAGGTTGGTAGATTAGCAACAATCCCATCTGATCCCTGAAACAGGGTCTTACAGCCAGAAATATGGGGAGCAAATATCTACTGCCACCCGATCTCTCCTGTCCTGAGGTCTCGGCTGGTACCAAACCCTAAATCTGTCTGGACATACTTCTGAGAAGGGAACCCTGCCCCCCAACTGGTGACAGTCAGGCCTTGGTGGCGCATGTCAGATCAGCATACTCCTCCTCAGTAAGGGGAGCCTTGTTGTTGACCAATCTGGCATTCAGCAGCAGCAGCTAAATCTCTGGGCTTCCATCTGAATGCTGTCTAGGCTCTGAATATGCCATACGTTTCTCTGTCCAGTCTTTCTCATTGACCAGCAAGGAGGAGGACTGACTCATTCAAAACCCTTCACTTGACTCTCACTCTGGGTAAAGGGTTACCAACATTCACATAGATACACTAGCCACCCTTAGGTTCTCATCATAAGAGCAAGCTCATAGTTCCTTCAGGCCCTAATCCTCTTCCTGAACAGTATCCCCTGTATCTTAGAAATGTCACAATGGCCCTCAATTCCATGTGGGCTGCTGTTGCTGCCACCACCAATGCTGCTGCCCCTGCCAGCAAGCAGAGCCTAGGCATGGCTGCTTAGCTAGTTTGCCAGGGCTGATGCTGTTGGGTCCTAGACATGCTCCCTGGGAAGACCACTGGGACTGCCATTGTCTTTCTTCTTTCCACTGCTGTCCATCCCACTTCTGCTACCTTCACTGATGCTGCTGATGCCCACCCAGAGAATGAGACTAGGCCCAGCAGCTCAGATAGGCCACCTATTAAATTATTAAATTAAGTTAAATTAAATCTATTAAATTTTAAAAAAGTATGGATTTTGATCACCTGAAATTGGATAGGACTTTTCATCCCTGTAATTTTATTCAATTCCTACTTTTCTACTGCACTTTATTCCTTTTGAATGATTTCCAAACTTCATTTGCTACATTCCATGGGAGTTACGTGCTAAGTTGTCAGTAATAATTATAAAATCTTGTTTTTCTTCCTGATTAATAATTCAAAGTTATCTTTTTTGTCCCATATTTTTGAAGTGTGTTAATTATGAAGTTAAATTCTGCTACTACACAGAATTGGATACACATACACACACAAATTAATATACCTATATACAAACATACATGCTTACACGCACACCCACACCCTTTAAAATCTTCTTGAACTTATATATTCAAACTCTAAAATGTAACATTTTGCTAGGGATAGTTAGAAGCCCAAGTATCACTGAGATTAAATACAGCATCTAAATACAGATTTTAGGAAAGAATCTAAACCCACAAATATTTGAAATCATTGCCCTTTATCAATAAAGCAGTTCTTGAGGTGACTTCATTTAACAAAAAAAATGGAGAAAAATTGGCTAGAAATAATTGCAAGGCATTAAAATGAATATTTTACAAATATTTTCTGTTCCCGATGATTCCAATAAAATACTGGTATTAAATAATTGGCATAAATAAATAATAATTTACATGTGGTATAATGAAAGACAAAAATTAAAATCAAGATTATATAATATTTGAAAGAGTAGATTTGAAAAGTAGATTGGCAGCTCCACTTTTAAAATAGTACTATCATACCAGTTGCTTAAAATGGATTACAACCGATTGTATTCTCTTACGGCCTTCCCATCTCTATGGAAATTAGATATAATCAGATCAAAAAGTAAGCAATATTTCAGCCAAAGCTACACATTTTAACTGTCACTAATTTTTGTTTTGAAAAATGAAGTTATGCTTAATATGTCAAGTAATATCCTCATTCTTTCTTAGGTCTTTTACAGAAAATAAAGTGGTTTCTGTTTGTGTATCTGTGCATAGACTGTGCAGACTCCCAATCTTCGTCATTTTGGATGTTCTGTATAGTTATATCTATGCAACCACCCCTCGGAATACGCGAACAGCGTGGAGTGGATTTACCTGCGTACCGTTGCCTAGGAACTGGAGAAAAATCTAACTGAGTAGCTGAGCACTTCCATAGGACAGTTCAAACTCATACAAATTTAAATTGGTTCCTCAGCTCGATCGGGCTCATGCGCAGTTTCTTTTGTTTTGAAGGCTGCCGCGTTGACTTGCGGCGTTAGTTTTGATTTGTCGGCTGCGCGGAGTTACAGTTTGTTATGTATGGAGTACATAACTATTTGAGAACCACGGATGCACTCGGAATCTTGCTGACTGAAGAAGATGTTCGAGAAAGAGTCAACCTGAGGCGCCAAAATCTCGGTGATCATCCACCTTTTGGGCATGGGAAGTTGGATCATGGCTGCGAGAGAAGGCGGCTTTTTTTAGTCGCCGTTTTGCCTCTTATTAGGAAGAGATGATCAAAAGCGGCAAAAGACGGGCAGAGGAAATAGAGAAAACCAATGAAGATATTCGGTTGTATTATTTGACAGGTCGCTTCCTAATAGGGGGAAGAATGATCTTTTCATGAGAATGTCCCTTCCTTAGTATTTCTCAATTCTTTTAAGAATTAGAAGAATCGGGCTCATTTTAATATGAAGCAATCGTCCTGTAAGAGAGCAATATATATTGTATTTTCGATAGATTTGGGATCCAAGAAAGCTAAAGGGCAGTTCTGTCTAGGAAGATTTTAAAATAGATAATAGAAATGCTGTGTGTGAATTGTATTTAAGGCTTCACGACTACTGCAATTTGCATGCTGTGAGTGAATGCCACAACAACTAGTGGTGTCGTTATGGATTAATTTTGATATCCCTTTGATATCAAAATTATGGTGTTATCACACAAAATGCAACTTATTTGTATCACATCTGACATAAGTAGCTAAATTGAATAATAGGCATTATGATGCCATTTTTCATCTTCATGTGTGACTGCTTCCAGGTACAATTAAAACTTATAGTGAGTATTATAAAGTGAATAGGAATAGTATAACAGAGTTGGGAGGAGCTTTGTAGGTCATCTAGTCTAACCTCCTGCTTAAGCAGGAGACCCTATACCAGGGGTTCTGCAACCTTAAACACTCAAAGAGCCATTTGGACCCGTTTCCCATAGAAAAGAAAACATGGGAGCCACAAAACCTGGGTGGGCATGGCCAACTCAATGGCACTTCCGCCTACCCAGGTTTCCCAGTGTTGTCAGTGGGAAATGGCTCTCTGCCTCCTTTCCCTCCTCTCCCTCCCTCCCGCCCATTACTGTTTTTCTCTTTTTCCTCTCCCTCTCCTTTCCTCTTCTTCCTTTCCTTCCCTTTCCCTCTTTCTTTCTCATTGAATACAGTAGAAAATCCAAAATAAGTCATTAATTGCATCTCTGTAATCTTTTCATAGTGAACTCTAAGTTGATAGAAGCTGGCAAGATTGAACTAACAGCAGTAGCATATATATTTTGATTTCTTTTGAGTACAACAATATAATACATTATCCAAAATTGTAAACAATTGTATTTTCAGATGCATTTTTTGCCATCTCTGTTATTTCCTTTTAAAAAAAAGTATCTTTGGCAACTTCTCATTTGATGTCCACTTTCCATAAGTCAGTGTAGACCAATTTAATTCTTAGATGGGGGTGTTATTTTATTTTTTTAATCTTATTGTTACCCACTTAAAGTTTCTGGAGCCTTGGAAGGATATATGTTTTAATAAAACTTATTTATTATTTATGGGTGCCCATTCCATATGGTGATTTACAAATACATAATTAAAATAGTTAAAACATAAAATGGCAGCTTGGACAAGAAATAATCATACAATAAAAATGTAACAGAAGCTCCAAGTCAAATAATCTGGGAACAGGCAGCTCTTAGGGATCTTGTGGAATTCAGTGGGAATTGGCATTATACATTTGGGGGAGGTGCTATTTCAGAGGGCAGGGGCAGCAACAGAGAAGATGCATTTACTTGATTCCACAATTTAGCAGTATTCAACTTGAGGAGATCTGGAGCATATCCATTCTGCCGGAATAATCTGTTGGAGATTAAATTTAATTGAGATAGTTGATCCCTCAGATAACAAGACACTCTGCCATAAATTTAATCATTTTAATTTCAAGAAAATGTTTGACAAAGTATGTAGTGATGATTGGATCTGTGAACTGGATGAGAAAATGGCTACATAATTGTTTTAAAAAATCAAATTTAAAGAAACCAATCAAAAACATTGTTGAAAATATAATTTATGATTCTTAAAAAGTATTAGCTATTTTATTCTTCACTGAAAGTTTTTTAAATTATTACCTATATATCTCACTTTTATTTTACATAAATCAATAGAGCATATATAATATTTCTGCCTCTTATTTTGCCCATCCACAGTCTCCACGTTTATCTATTGCATCAAGTGGAATACCACAAGGTTTAGTCCTGAGTTGTCTATTTCTCAACGTTTTTGTTAATGATCTGGATGAATTAGCAAAGGGCAAGTTTAGCAGATTTTAGATGATGCATTATTGGAAGAGAAGGCTAACGCTGCAAAAGGTTTTAGTAAAATGCAGAACTACCTTGATTGTTTAAATGATTTGGCTTAAAAAACCTAGAGGCAAATATATGGTCTTCATTTAAAAAGCAGAAGCAGGTACATAAGTTTAAAATGGGAAATAACTAGGTTGGTACATGAGGAAATTAAGCTAGAATAAGAGATTACAAACTGAATATCAGTCATGGGTTCTATGGCTTTTTCTTTTCTATTCTTTTTTGTAAAATAATTGTATGATTGTGTATATCTGTGTGTGTGTGTGTCTCGTGTATGTCTCGGTATGTATGTGTATGCAAGTCCTATTTCAGTTCCAGAATGCAGTAGAAGGCATATAGCTAGTTCTTGATTTGAGATCAAAATATTCATTGCTAAACAAGGTGGTTATTTAAGTGAGTTGCATCCAACTTTATGACCTTTTCAAAGTTGTTAAGCAAATAATTGCAGTTTTTAAGTGAATTGTGTGGTCATTAAGTGAATTCCCCCATTGACTTTGCTTGTTGGAAGCTGGATAGGAAGGCTGCCATCACATAACTCCAGCATGCTGCCACCTTTCTAAATATATGCAGATAGTGAAATGCCTGAATTTTGGCCATAACCATGGGGATGCTGCAATGGTTGTAAGTGCAAACAATAAATCACTTTTTTCAGTGCCATTGAACAGTGGCTAAATGAATGGTTGTGAGTACTACCTGTAATGGATTTCAGGGAAGTATAGGCAGAATTTAATTGAATATTGCAGAAAAAAATACTAATTGTTAAATCACTTTGCAATAGAATCAATTATTATCTAAGCAAATGATAGGCTTCTCTTCAGTAAATATGTGAAAATAGAGAGTAGATAGTCATTTATCTGGAATGTTTTAATTTGAAGTTGGAAGCAATGGCCAAAATCATGCCTTACAATTCTTTTGATTGTGAGATCGTTGGTGCTCTTTAAGCTTGATTACCCAACTAGATAATATATAATCAATGCTAAAATGTGGTGGAATTTGTTCTCTGTGTGTGCCTATATATGATTGTGTAGCTTGCCCTGTCAGTGTTGGAGGGAGTGTTGTTCGTGGTTGTTATTAGGACACTGTTTATGGTATGATTATCTAAGTTAGTAGTTCCTTGCCATAAACAGCACCCCAATCAAGGAATTATGATGATGTTACCTAGTTCAACTCTGAGCTACAAATATCCTCTGGTGATTCTTTGTTTTTAAAATCCCCCAACTCGCTGTATATGTCTGATTCCCTCCCCCCTTTTTTTTATAAGGACTGTCAAAAGTAAGTCATTATATTAAATTGCCAGCAATGTTTCATTTCAGCTGATATCCGAGTGTTGTCTCTTCCTGGAATGTATGAAAGGATCAGTCATTTAGGAAACTCCTTGAAAAAATTTGTTTATCTGAAATCTCTTGACCTCTCACGCAATGCACTAACTACACTGGAGGTAAAAAATTTAGGGAGTTTGTATATTTTCCATTGTATATTTGGGGATTTTATTTTTGGATTTATTAAATACATCTGTTTTACCACTTAACAATTGAAATGATCTTGACGTGAAAATATTCTGATATAATAAAGCAAACGTATAGAGATTTTCCATATGTGCAGAATAAAATTACTCTGTAACAAGTAGTAAAGGGACTGCTGAGGCAGATATTTAAAATGTGAAAAATAAAAGGCATTCCCTATGTGTTAAAGTATTTATTTTAGTTCAGGTGAGCAATTTTCTTCAATGAATAAATGAACACGTATAATATTTTTGAACTAATTTGTTTAACATAATTCTCTTCATTTAGTCTTGGGACTAAAATAGATTATATTTTAGATTGTATTTATGCATATATATTGAAAATTCAATAAAGTTCACTGACTTGTATGGATCACTGTAAATTGATCTATAATTTAACAGCCTACACATCTGAAATATCTGACAAGGATGAGATTCTGAGAAATAAGCATTATTCTAATTCTCATCTTGAGATATCATCTTTAAAGAGGCATCCACTATATGTAGATATAGAAGGTGATGGAGTGCCAAGGGGAGCAAATTGCATGATGTAAATTTTCCCCTTTTCTGAACGAGTATTATAAAACATATGTATGAAAAAGAAGATGTTATGACACAATTCTGTTTTAGTCATTTTACAAGAGTAAGGGTTACTGAGGAAGACTCTATTCATATTTTAAAACAGGGCCTTAAACATCTCACATACTTAGAAAAGCTCAATCTCTACTTCAATCACATCTCCTCTCTATCAGAAGTGCTACGACTCCACAATTTAACTGCACTTCAAGTTGTGGATTTCCGACTGAATCCTGTTGTTAAAAATGAATCAGATTATCGCCTTTTTGTTGTACATATGCTTCCTAATCTCAAACAGTTAGGTAAGTAGGCTTGCATAAATTTTACTGTTGGTCAGGTGGCTAGATTATGGATTAAACTTGAAATTTTAACAATTTATCTATAGTTTGAATGATTCCAGCACATACAATTTATTTTGCTGATTTCAGGTAGTTGCAGGAGACAATTATAGAGATCTTCCCATTTCTTTTTCTGGTGGGTTATGTTTGCATATAATATTGGTAGATGTAAATATATATAATTATATCTAGTTGTTTGAGGAGATTGGAGCAGAGGAAGAATAGATGTAGGAACCATTAGCCTGATACTCACAATCCACCATAGACAGACACCATCTCTTTATGAGATTTTCTGAAGTAAAGATTTTTTTTCTCAGAAAAAACTAACTTTCAAAGCCACTGTAGAATAGTTCGGGGAATCCATTGTCTGTTTTTTTCAGTATTGCAGCCATATATCTAAAATAAAACCGAAGAACCAAATATTCCATGGCTTTAGAAGACAACAGATTGTTTTCCTAGATGTGTTAGTCAAAATGAAATAGGAAATATAGGTTTGAAATGTTGACCTCCAGCAGAAAGCTGTGTACCTTTCCTTGCTGGCCAGTGTATACTACAACTATATAACCCCTTGTGGGGGGAAAACTATCATGGAAAATGGTGTGATTTAGTTGAAGATGTAGATCTTCAATATCTACACGAGGGGCTTTTTGTCAAGGGATGGGTTTCACCTCACAAGAACTGTGAAGAATGTCTTTGGAAACCAAGTGGCTAGCTGTATCCAAAGATATTTAAACTAAAATTGGAGAGGGAGGGAGACAAATTTTCAGAAGCGAATTCCTAATATAAATCCAAAGGGTAATCAACCAATAATAAGAAAGAAGGGGAATTTAAATATAAAATAGAAGAAGTAAACACAGGGTCACTAAAAAGGACCCAAATGCCTATACACTAACACTGAGTGTTAGTGTATAGACATTTGAATCTTTTTTAATGTCCCCCGTATTTGCTTCCTATATTTCCTATTTTAGGAGGAGTATGAGTAACAAACCAGATGAACTTTATCGTAGTACATGAGGGCAGATATAACATTACTGCCATTACCGAAATTCAGCAGGTTGAAACCCATGACTAGAACATACAGAGAGAAGGATTCAAATTGTTCAAAAAAAACCAAAACAAAATAGAACTAATAGAAGAGAAGGTTGAGTTGCGCAATATATAAAAAAAATTATACCTCTATAGAAATTTAGCAAAACAATCATGAAAACCTTAAATGCATTTGGGTTAATATAAAAGGGAAAAGAAATGACATTGCCATTAGTATATATTACACACCACCCAACCAATCAGAAGAAATAGATGAATTTTTGGCTAACTAGCTATTTAAAGGTATGCAGAAAGCACAACACAATAGTAATGACATCAACTATCCTGACATCAACTGGGAGACAAATTCTGCACCTAGTGGGAGATCAAACAGATTTCTGAGGAACCAAGCAGACATCTATGCCTCTCAAAAAGTAGAGAAGAGAACTACAGGGTCAGTTACACTGGATTTAATTTTCACTAGCCAAAATAAAATGATAAGAAGGAGTTGATTACAGGAACTTTGCAAGAGTAGCCATGTGTTATTGGAATTCATACCTTAAAAGAGCTGATTTCAACAAATTTAGAGAAAATTTAGAAAAATTACATAAATAGAAATCTTTAATGGAAAAACAATCCAAGAAGTTTCTGAAAAACAGATTATAGAAGCCCAGTCAAGCACAATACCAATAAAAAGGAAAAATAAGAGACCCCGCAAGAGATTGCTGCATAAATAACTGATAAACTGAAAGACAAAAAGGGCAAATATATAAAATGGAAACAGGAGCACATAACTAAGACTGAATATCAGCAAATACCCGAATTTGCAAAGATGAAGTCAGGAAAACTAAGGCTCAGGATAGACTACAACTTGCAATAAATGTCAATAAGAATAATAATAGAAAAGCTTCTTGCAACATGTAAAGAACAAAAAAAAGTCATGGAAACATTTGATCCACTAATGGGAGAAGAGGGCAAGAAGGTGATGGGCGGTAGATGGAAAGTGGAACTGCTTAATTCATTCTTTGCATCTGTCTACACACAAAAGGGGGGGAGTCCAATTTATCAAAAGTAATATCAGAAAAGATGGAAAAGTAATATCAGAAATCAAAAGAGGCAACAAAATAATAATACCTATCCACTCTAGATTAATTCAAATCAGCCAGGTGGTTTACATCCCAGAGTTCTGAAGAAGCTGGCAAATGTGATTTTGGAACCAACTGATTCATATAATTCCAAGATCCTGGACCACCGAAGAACTACCAGAGGACTGGAAAACAGTTGATGTGGTTTCTCTTCTTCAAAAAAAGGAAAAAAATGGATCCAAGAAACTACAGACCAATCAGCAACAGATCTGCAAACATTCTAGAAGCAAGCAAAATCATTACTAGAAGCCAATATGAGTTTGTCAAAAACAAAGTTACTAAATTAATGGGTAAGCAAAATGCTTTGAAGATAATATACTTGGACTTTATTAAGGCAAAGTAGATCACAACATATATACAGATAGTCCTCTACTTAAGACCAGAATTAATCCCAAAATTTCCATTGTTAAACGAAACAATTGTTAAGTGAGTTTTGCCCCATTTTACAACTTTTCTTTCCATAGTTATTAAGAAAATCACTGCAGTTGTTAAATTAGTCACAAGGTTGTTAAGTGAATAGGCTCCCCCAATGACTGCTTATCAGAAGGTCACAAAAGGTGATCACATGATCCTGAGACACTAGAACAGTCATACATATGAATCAGTTACCACGCGTCTGAAATTTGATCACTTGACAACCTGGATGCAACAATAGATGTAAGCACTGATGGGATTCAAATTTGTTTACTAGCGGTTCTGTAGGCGTGGTTTGGTGGGCGTCGGAGGGGAAGGATACTGTAAAATCTGTCAGATGTAGTATTTGCCGGTTCTCCAAACTGACTCAAAATTTCTACTACCGGTTCTTCAGAACTGGTCAGAACCTTTTGAATACCACCTCTGGTTGTAAATGTGAAAAATGGTCATAGGTCCTTTTGTCATTTTAATTGTAATTTTGAACAATCTCAAAACAAATGTTTGTAAGTTGAAGACTACCTGTACTATTTTGTGAGATAGAAAAATGTGGGTTAGACAGCATTATTACCTGGTGGATTCATAACTGGCTGACCAACTGAATTCAACATATAATCTTTAATGGAGTTACATCTACATGGAGGAAGACATGCAGTGGGTACGTCAAGGTTCTATCCTAGGCACAGTAAATGGTTCAGATGAGTGGATAGAAAGGGAATTCATAAAATTTGCAGATGACACTAAGCTGGGGGGAATAGTCAGCACTTTAGAAGATAGGTTCAAGATCCAAAAGGGGTTTAACAGACTGGAGCACTGGGACCTATCCAACAAAATGCAGTTCAGTGAGAAAACTAAAGTTGTACACTTAGGCAAGAAAATACAAAGATTGGATAAGTGGTAGCTTGCTCATTAGTAGTAAATGTGAGACGGATCTAAGAGTCCTAATGGACAACCAAATATGAGCCAGCAGTGTGCTGCGGTTGCCAAAAAAGCCAATGCAGTCCTTGGCTCCCTCAATAGAGGGATAATATCAAGATCACACCAGATGTTACTGTTGCTTTATACTGCACTGGTGAGACCACACTTCATCTAGTTTTGGTCACACAATCCAAAAAAGATATTGAGACCATAGAAAAGGTTCAGAGAAGAGCAACAAAGTTAAATAGGACTGGAGGCTAAAATAAATGAAATAAATGAACATTTGCAGGAACTGGGAATATCTAGTCTAGGAACTGGGAATGTCCAGTTAGGAGCTGGGAATGTCTAGTCTAGGAACTGGAAATGTATTGAGACAAGGACTATGGGTGACATTAAAGCAGTTTTCCAATATTTAAGCAGCTGTCACAAAGAAAAGAGATTGACCTATTCTCCAAAGCACCTGAAGGTGGATGGTAATGGATAGAAACTTATCAAAGGGAAGTCTAACCTAGAACTAATGAGACATTTCCTGATGGTAAGAACACTGAAATGCCTTGCCTCCAGAAATTGTGAGTACTTGATCATTGGAAGTTTTAAGAGATTGGACAGTCATCTGTCTCAAATGGTACTGTTTGAGCAGGAAGTTATACTAGAAGACCTCTGAGATTCCTTCCAATTCTCATATTGGATTACTCTGTTAAGATGAGTTAGATTTTCTGTTTATAGAGAGATAAGCAGAACAATAAAATGCCAGTATGAGTCAGTTTTTGTGGTTAATTATTTCCTAGTTCCTATTTAAAATGTTTTGAGATAACATGAGACTGCAAATGACTAAACAAGGCTGTAATTGAGATTTTGAAGGTTTGGTTTTGTAGTTAATGCACCAGGGTAGAAAGCAGGAGATGGTGAATTCAAGTACTGCCATAGTCATGAAAGCCAGCTGGCGAACCTTAGGCCATTCACTTTATCTCAGCCCAACTAATCTCCCAGGGTTATAATGGGGAAAATAGGAAGATGAAGGTATATTGGATATATTCAATTCACTGTGTTATTTGTAAAAATAATAGGTACGGTATTTTGTGTGTGTGTTTGTATGTGTATATGTATGTGTGTGTATACATGTATATGTATTTAATTCCTTAATAGTACCTTTATTTTTATGTATATTTTTTTAAAAAATCACTGTCATTTATTTTTTGAAATACACATTCTAAAATTATTAAATAATGTTTAATATTATTTCATATTATTTATTAATGTATTTAATAACAGTTTAATTAAAATTGCTAGTTTGGATTTATACATTGTGTTCAAAGTATCTGTATAACTGATTGTCATGTTGGATTTTTTTTTAGATGATTGCCCTGTAACAGAAAGTGACCGAAAAGCATCTCTTTTGCATTTTACTTCTGATTACGCTTATACATTCAAGAAATCTGCAGTTTTAGCCAAAAGAATTAAACCTAGCAGGTATTAAAAAAATAAAATGAAGAAATGACAATATCACAGTTTTGAAAATGTTGGAGACCATCACTGAAATTCTAATGGAATTCATGTTATTGCAATGAGATTGTTTTTCTATTTTTGTTTTTCAAGCCAGGCTTGCAAAAGCTAGGAAACACTTTTGGAATCAGATTTAAAAATAAACTTTACATCTAAATAAAATAAAAATTAAAAAATGGAGCTTCCAGTACTATTCTTCTATCTGGGCTGCACCAGATACATTCTAAAGCTTCAGGTCTTGATTCTAAACTTTCAGTAATTAGCCAATTTTGCTAGATAATATTATTACATTATTTTGTTTTATTATAATATTGCATATATTATATATAAAATAAATCAATACAATATTTTATATTAAATTATTATACTATTATATTGTTATAATATAATAATATAGTTGGTTGCACAGTCACCTGGATGTTTAGACTGGATTTGGCATTTTATACAACCAGCGAGTCCTTCCCAAGTGCCTGGGGTAGGCAAATGTTGCTGTTTAATAATATTAAAGATTTGGTCATAGGATTTAAGATATGTTATTCCAAGTAAAACTGCTTGTGCAAATAACTGATGGTGGTTTAGCAATGCTAATCGTATTTAGATGGTTCTCCAAATATTTTGGGATTACACTCAAGGTGGAGGGGTGGGATGCAAATATTTTTACTACCGGTTCTGTGGGAGTGGCTAGGTGGGAGTGGCCATGTGACTGGGTGGGTGTGGATTTTTCTTTGTTTTTGCAACACCCCCCGCACTTCTTCTTTTTTTTTTTTTTGGCTTCCTGGGCCTCAGGGAAGCCTCCTCGGAGCAAAAACAGCTTCCCAGAAGGCTTCCCTGAGGCCCAGGAGGCAAAAAAAGGAGTGCTGGGAGGGCGCACAGCACCCCTCTCCACAAGCCCTTTTTGCCTTGTGGGCCTCAGGGAAGCCTGGGTGAAGTAGTAAAACAGCAAGGAGGATCCTGGCACAGCTGATCATTGGAACAGCTGGTTGTTGGGAGGGGGAAAAAATACCATAAGGAGTGATTGGGCGGGGTAGGGCAGTGGGGGAGAATATAGTGAGTGATGTTGCGATGTTGTACATACACAATAAGAACTGACTGGGCGGGGAGGGGAGGGGAGAAGAGGGCAGAGAGGGGTGGGGCCATCTAAGGGCACAATTTGCCAGTTCTCCAAACTGCACAGAATTGTAACAACTGGTTCTACTGAACCGGTCCGAACCGGTAGAATCTCACCCCTGCCAAGGTGCCTATTACTATTGATAATATCTTTGCTTTCTTCTTCTTACACAATTGTTCTACTTTTATTTGATAGTTTTTAGTTTTTATGATTTTCTCAAGTTCTTTCTGCTGTCTCAAGGTACTGCAGCATCCACTATCCAATTTTTTTTTTTTACAATTGTTAAGTCTGAGGTGTTTTGAGGTGGGTGCTTGCTTGTTTGAATTGTAAAGTCTCAGAGGACCTTATCTTCTTCATTTTCTATAACTTTGTCTATTTTGTATTCCCATCACTTCTTCTTTGCTGGCAAATGTTTTTTTCCCAAGGCATCAATGTTGCTACTTTGTCATGTCATTGTTTGTTGTTAGTCTATGCAATCTTCTTGAACCCCCAAATAAATGGTTCAAATTTTTTTAAAAAATTCTTTTCAGTGGCAGCATTTATTGTCTGTTGCTGCCTTCTCAGTTATGACTTTACTTGCATTTGTTCTTAAAGTTTTTGAGTTACTGTTTTTGAGCCAGATTTCACCTAATTTGTAGTTGTACCTTTGATTTTTCCTGCCTACTTGTAAAACTTTGGTTTTCTACACATTACGTTTCATGTTGCTGGATAAGGCCCATTGCTCAATCCATTGTTTTTGGATCCTGAGCTTATCCATGTGATGGTAAAGTAATTGACTAAACGGTACATGTTATACCCCTCCATTAAGGAGCATGGCAGGAGTTATTATCTGAACCTTTATTATTATTATCAGCCAAATGTTTGGAATAGAAAGTACTGTTAGGTAGCATCCCTAACTGCCCGAAACTAAAATGTAAAATTACTTCATTATAAAAAATAAAGAGGTGTATACTTTCAGAGGCAAGAATCACTCTTTTATCAAATCTGGACAGATTTTATTAATTATGTTGATCACAGTATCTTAATCTCATAAGGTATAATAGGATATGGAAATTATGAATTAATAATTATGAAATAACTGATTCTTTTTTTAAAAAAAATTATTGGTTTTTAAGACAAACATAGACAAACGAAACATAAAAACATCATGCCATCTTCCATATATATACATACAGTGTGTCGGTTGGTTTACAAATTGTTTTGTGCTTCCATTTCATAGTCTTCAATTACAATTACATTGTATATATTCTCATATTTTCAATCAAATATTAAATACATTAATATCATTGTTAATGAATCATTTGACTATACTTTTATTCATTCATGTTTTACGAAATGATCCATATTTTACTTAATTTGTTTTATGACAGTTCATATTATCATCTCACATCTATCCTACAAACATTTTGTAGATATAATAACAAAAGAATACATCTTTATATATTTATTATTTTCTAAGAATCTACATATTTCATTACCATGTTTTATTGTCTAACCATATAGAATAGATCCCAAATTTTATAAAATTGTTTATCATCTTGTTCTCTGATTTCAAATGTCAATCTACTCATTTCAGCACATTCCAATATTTTCTTAATGATTTCCTCCGGTGATGGTATTTTCTCATTTTTCCAATTTTTAGCAAATAAAATCCTAGCCGCTGTTAATACATTTACAATCAGGTATTTCAATTCTTTACTATATATTTCAGGTAAAATTCCCAATAAAAATATCTCTGGTTTCAAATCTATATGCTTTTTTGTCATTTTTTCCAACCACGTGTGGATTTTAGTCCAATATTTTTTAGCATCCGCACAAGTCCACCACAAATGGTAATATGAGCCAGGTATCTGATGACATTTCCAACATTTTTCAGATTTGTTCTTGAACATTCTTGCTATTCTTGTTGGGGGGAAATGCCACCTGTAAAACATCTTATACAAATTTTCTTTATATGCTGTTGACATTGTCATTTTATAATTTTGAGACCACAATTTTTGCCATTTCTCTAGATCAATCCCATATCCAAAATTCTTCCCCCAAGCAATCATAGTTTCTTTAACTTGTTCTTCTTCTAGTTTAATTTCTAATAAATATCCATACAACTTTTTAATCACCTTTTCATCAGTACCTGTCAAAATCTTATATAAGTCAGTCAGTTTATAATAGAAACCTTCTGTTTTAGAATCTTTGTCATACCTTGAATGTATTTGCGCATATGAAAACCAATTCATCTTTATACCTTGTTCCTCTATTTTTTGCATAGATTTAAGTTCACCCTTTTCATTCAATAGTTCATCATATCTAACTGTTTGTTCCTTTTTATATATTATAGGATAAGAAAATGCTTCAATAGTAGATAGCTAGACTGGAATTTTCAAATAAAATTGTCTTTTAGTCTTCTCCCAGTTTAACCACAGAGACTCCTGTATATAATGTCTTCTAAAATACCCCTGTGTTTTAGTTCCTTTATACCATAGAAAAGCATGCCACCCCAACAACAGATCATGTCCTTCTAATTTCAACAATCTAGTATTTCTTAATGTTATCCATTCCTTAACCCACATCAAATTTGCAGCTTGGTAATACAACTCCCAATTAGGCAAACCAAATCCTCCTCTTATTCTGGCATCTTGCAAAAGTTTTAACTTTATTCTCGCTTTCTTACCTTGCCATATATATTTCAACACAATTTTATTTAAATCTTCAAAATAATCTTTTCTAAGCCTAACTGGAATTGTTTGGAACAAATATAAAATTCTGGGTAGTATATTCATCTTGATTGTTGATATTCTCCCTATTAATGACAGTTGTAAATTTTTCCATTTCGCCAAATCTAGTGCTATCTGCTGCTTAAGTTTGATATAATTATTCTCTTTTAGTGTACTACATCTTGCTGTCAAATGTATCCCCAAGTACTTGATCTTATTCGTGACCTGAATTTTCAATACATCCGCCAGTTCTTCCTTTTGTCTTGATAGCATATTCTTTGTCAAGATCTTTGTTTTATCTTTATTTATTTTCAAACCAGCCACCTTTCCATATACCTCTTTCTTTTCTATCAATTTTGATGCTGTTTCTAGTGGGTCTTCTAAAATGAAAACCAGATCATCTGCAAATGCTTGCAACTTAAATGCTTCCTTTTTAATTTTCATCCCTTTTATATCCTTTTCTTCTCTAATATTTCTGTTTAACACTTCCAAGGTTAACACAAACAACAAAGGTGATAGTGGGCACCCTTGTCTTGTTCCTTTTCTTATATCAATAGAGTCTGTCAGTTCTCCCTCTATCATTACCTTTGCCGTTTGGTTATGATATATAGCTTCTATTGCTTGAATAAATTTTTTACCAAAGCCCATCTGTTCCAGCTGTAATAACGTGAATCGCCAATTCACATTATCAAATGCCTTCTGTGCATTTAAAAACATCAAAGCCACTTGTTTTTCAGGGTGTGCCTCGTAGTATTCCAAAGTGTCCAAGATTACTCTCATATTGTCTTTAATTTGTCTCTTTGGCAGAAATCCAGTTTGATCAGGATGGATAAAATTGTTTAAGTATTTTTTAAGTCTTTCTGCCAATATTGAAGCAAAAATTTTATAATCTGCATTTAGTAAGGAAATAGGTCTATAGTTCTTGATTTGTAATGGATCGGCCTCCTCTTTTGGGACAAGTGTAATATAAGCTTCTGACCATGATTTAGGTATCTTCTTCTTTAACATAACTTCATTCATAACTTCTAGCAACAGAAGGTTCAACGATTCTTGTAGTGTTTTATAAAATTCTGCCGGAAGTCCATCTGAGCCTGGTGCCTTTCCATTGTTTTGCATCTTAAGTGCTTCAGTTAACTCCATCATCGTTATATTGCTTTCTAACATTGTTTCAATCTCTTTAGGTATCTGGGGTAGATTAGCATTCTGTAAGTACTGTTTAACTCTTTCCTCATCAATATTCTCTTGTGTGTATAGTTTCCCATAATAGTCTCGTATAATTTCCTTCTTCTCTTTACTACCATAGCAAACTTGGCCTTGGTCATCTTTAATTGCAATATTTTCCTTGATTCTTTCTCCTTTCTCAATTTATATGCTAACCATCTACCTGGTTTATTTGCATCTTCAAAATAGTTCTGTTTCGCACATCTGATTTTCTGTGCTAGTTCTTCTTTTTCCATTAGTCCCATTTTATGTTTAATTATATCCATTTTTAACTTAATGTCCTTTTTGTGTGGCATTTTCTGTAGCTCTTTTTCAAGTCCTTTATACTCATCCTCTAATGCCTTAGAGGCTAGTCTTTTCATGGTATTTCTTTTCCTTGTATAGTCTATTATCAAACCTCTGGCATATGCCTTCATTGTATCCCATCCGTTCTGGATTGATATATCTTCTTTTTTGTTTTCTCTAAAGAAGAAAGCCAGTTCTTTCTCCATCCACTGGATGAAGTCTTTTTCCTTTAATATAGTATTATTTAACATCCATCTAGATCTTCTTTGTCCTTTCCATTTAATTGTCATTGGATTGTGATCTGCCCAAGTACTTGTTTCAATATTTATTTCTGTAACATCGTCTGTATTGAGCGTTGTCCTCCAGATGGTGAAGAGGAAGAAGTAGAAGTTAAGGAACCAGGGGCTGTTAGTTTCCTACTCATTTCAGATAATTCAAAATCTTCAGGTTCTTCTAGACCTTAATCCACTTGTGAAATAACCAATTGTAATTCCAAGTAAAAATAGTGGGGAAAAAGAAGCCAAATAATAACAATAATGATAATAATAAAAATTAATTCAGGTTCTTGTATACCTTAATCCAATCGATTGGTTAGACAGCAGTAAAAACTCAAAAATGGAAGAAAAGACCATAAACACACAAAAAAAGAAAACATTGTTAAATCCTGGAAAAGGTGGAAAAATAGAAAATAAAAAACTAAAGAAGAGAAAAGTTCTTCAGGTTCTTCAACACCTTAATCCAATTAAAAAGTCTCAGGTATAAAAGGATGCATAACAAAAAAAAGAAAGCCACCAAAAAAAAAACCCAATATGGAAGGTAAATAGAAAAAAAAATACAAGGGAGGGAGAAAGAAAAAAGAAAAGAGATTACTCCCTTAAAAAAAAAAAAAAGGAAGGAAATCATTAATACTAAAGCTTTTCCTTTAAAATAAAATGCAAACGTAAAAATTAGACTTCAAAAACAAAAAGAAAGACAAAAACAAGTTCCAAAAGGCCAAAGATCCAAATAGCTATAACAAAAAGTAAGCTAATAAGGAGGGGGTTTGTTAAAGTAAGAAATAGCCCAGCTTAAAAAAAGTAAAAAGAGCACACTGCACCTTGTTTGGTTATCCAAGGTTTTTGTTAAAATTTATAACTCTCTTCTCCAGAGTCTTATCACCTTTTTTTCCTATAAACTTCAACACCAGCCTCCAGCTATTGATAGAAACCCAGAAGAGCGCCTGCAATAATACTCTCCCATGCTCTTCCCTCTATCTTATCAAACAGGCAATGTCTTTGAAAAGAAGTCTCAGTTCTTTCTCAGCTTTGTCTGGTCAAGAAAAAAAAAGACATAGAATATTTCCAAGCCTCTAGTTGACAGTGTTACAAGGTTTCTTCTGCTTTCACTTTCCTCCTCCTTTTCCAAACAAGATATAATAAAAATTAATTAAAAAGGGAAAAACATATTAAAAAAGATGATTAGAAGGGAGTCTCTAGCCTAAAATGTTATAAAGTCAAAAAGGAGAGAAAGAATAGGTGGAAGAAAAAAAACCAGTCCAGTTTCAAAATATAAAATCATGTGTAAAAAATCCAGCAATGAGAAAAAAAAATAAAAAAAAATATTACTTTGACTTCCTGTTTAAAATCGCCACTTAATCACTTCTGTCAAAACTTTTACAGATTCTTTCTTTTCCTTAGGGTGTCCTTTCAAATCTTAAAGTAAAGAAAAAATTTTCACCCAACCGGCACACTTTCTCTTTCCATTCTCTTTTGTTTTGGAGCTGTCCCAACTTCAGCAGCTTTAATGGCTTCCTCTTTGCCACTGGCAAAAAGAGCTTCTCCTGGATCTACCAGGGACTTTGCGGTATCCCTGGGATCGACAGGATGCGCTCTTTACATTCACCGTCTCTTCGGGACGATTTAGATCCGTTTGGACCATCCAGGAGCAAAGATATCGGCAGCGATCTCAGACCTCCAAGATCGCATGCCGTATCGTCGCGACGCCAGCTCCCCCTCTCAAAATAACTGATTCTTTTATTGATCACTTTTCTCTATGCTTTTTTCTTACAGCTTTTTATAATTTTTAAAAGATTTTTAATGCAATTAAAATACATTAATAATTGTAGAATTATGGAATGCCATCCCTTTGCTTTATTATGGGATGTGTGTCAAATTCTCCATCAGATTTCCCAGCATTCAGCTTTGTTTAAAGTCTTGAATTCTAATGTTATGCAAGATTTTTTTTTAAATTTTCATTGATTCTTATTATACATATATCTATTGGCACATTCCATTTTATTGCTTTCTTTTTTAAGCTGTAAAATTATCATTTTAGTATAGCATAGTACTTCTAGATCTTTTGATCATTTTGTCATTAGATTTCAGATCAGATTTCTAATTTCAAAAGTGTTGCTTTGAATTAAATTGTGTCATATGTGGGGTCCTTGGTGCTTTCTGAGCCTGTTTATTTTCTTGCAGACATTTCATTACCAAACTAGGTAACATCATCAGAATTAGAAAGAACTAAGGTTTATTCACATTTTATAAATGTGATTTGCCCTGTCAGTGCTGATGGGAGTGGTCTTAATAATTCTTTGATTTAGGCTATTGTGCCATATTTTCTCATTCCAGGTTTATTCATCCAAGAGTTGAATATATTAATTCTATGTCAAAAAAGTATCTGGCAGTGGATGAAGATGATGAAGCAGCCTTACGTCTTTTAGCAAAATGTGAATGGGATTTAAGAAAACATGCAGAAATAAGTGTATCATCTAAAAAGAATCCTGAAGTAGAACTTCACAATTTAAAAAGTATGCAGTTTTTAAAATGAGATTTCTCTTTCCTTATTCTCTATAACATTGAACTACTGAAGAATTCTGATTCATTGAATATTCTCAATACTGAACTATTGATAGTATATTGAGAATTTATTAAGAATCAATAGAAAATTTAATATATTATACAGAGGCATAAGAATCCTTGATTCACTTAACTGGGCCTATTCTTATATTTATCTGCACGTTATTGGATATCTTTACATCTTGTATACAATCTCTCAACAATAGCATTTCAACTGTGTTCTTCCCATATTTTGTGAGAACAACCCATCTCTTAGTAAGAGTCTCATCTTATTTTTATGTCCTATTATCAGAGAATTCCATAAGTTGTCTGAGTACTGATGGGACAAAACTCACACTTTCCATAGGGAAGAAAGCTAAGTAACAGAAAATGACAATTGATTAACTGTGAAGTACCATTTAGTCACCTGAAGATGAAGCCTTACTTAATGTGATAATTAATATATTTATGGTATTGTCCTTTAGAATAAGGGTCGCCCACCTTTTGGACCTCAGGGACCACCAAACTCATAATTTTAAATCCCAGGGACCACTAACTGGGTCTATGGGCGTGGCCTAATTTGTGGATGTGGCTTGGTGATTATGTGACTGCCTGGGCATGGCTTGTATGTAAATATTATAAATATTGATATAAATAATGAATTTTTTATTTAAAAAAGAGCAACTTTTACCCAAAATCAGGCAAAGCAGGCAGGGCAGATTGAGTTGCTCACAGAATCATTCGGTGATCTATCTATCTGCCATCAGCTAGCTAAGTCTGTCACATAAAATTTGCTTGCCGTAAGTCTGCACTGAATAATAAAACCTTCAGTCCTAAGGGAGGTTTGGCTGTGCTTAAAGAAGATCCGAAGATCTAAAGACTAGCTAGAAAGCAATAAATCCAACCATTTCCTGCTTCCTAGCTAATCTAAATCTCCTGGCACAGCAGAACAGATGATGGTCGGAAAAATAGCAATGTAGCAGGCAAGCTTATTGGGTAAGGAGTGAGTGGGCAGGAAGGGTTCCCGCGGGCCATGTGGGTGTCGTAGCCTTGTGTTTCTGCACAGCCTGGATTATTTGCTTTGGGGAGGGTGGTCTGGGGGTGAGATTTCTCTGCGGCCCACCAAAATTTTCTCACGGCCCACTTTTTTTCTGTTACTGAATCTGGAGTACAGATGGATATAAACGATTTTTTTGTAGCTAAAATCAGTGTGTTGGGAATGTTCCTTTGAGATACAAAAAGTTTTGTCTGACTTTCTGGCAGGAAAAAAAGGAGTTAATTCATTGGGCCCATTGTTTGATGATCAGAACAGCTCCTCACAATAAACCCAATACCTAGTTTTATTGCTTTTATTCTGAAATTGGAATCAATATGAGATGGGAAATTTCAGATTGTAAAGTGTTGAATATAGTATTATTATTATCATCCATGGTGTAGTAGATTAGGTGTCTTTTGTAGATCAATTTATTATTTTAACCTATTACTTCCTAAGGTATTTATGAAATGAAAGATAATCCTAAGAAGTGGAAATCAGAGTTCTCCCTTCCCCAGTTTGTCCTATTACAAAAGAAATGTTTATTTCAGGTAAGAAAAATAAATTAAAAATTGGCATTGTGCTTGCTTTCTATATGAAATCTTTTAAACTATTACACAATTTCTGAGAAATATGTTTTATTTCATGATATTGAAAACAGTCAATGGTGCTGCAAAATGTCCATAATTTTAAAGCATTTTCCATGATTTTGTCTCATTAAAAAAGTATTTATATTCCTACAGCAACAAATATGCTACTGTTTACTAATTTTAAAATACCGTATTTATCGGCGTATAACACGCACAGGCGTATAACACGCATCTTCATTTTAAGAGGGAAATTTCAGGAAAAAAAATTAAATTTCTAAATAAAAACTTTGAAGCAAAATAAGGGTAGCTCAGAACTTTTTTTTTATTAATATTATTACCACTTATAAGGTAAATCAGTGGTCCCCAACCTTTTTTGTACCAGGGACCGGTTTCAAGCAGAAAATTTTTGCAAGGACTGGAGGTGGGGGGAAGAGAAGAGAAGGAGGCTTCGCTCTCTCGCTGCTCCACCATCCAAGGAAGAAACTGCTTCAAAGAAGCGGGGGGGGGCTTTTCCTGTCGCCGCAGCTATTCCGAAGCGCCCGTTTCACCCCCACTCCCACCCCGCGCGCGCGCTTCAATCCACAGTGTCCCATTCTGCCTGCCTGCCTTAGTTTCTGATTGTTTGGGAGCAGCTTCGGCTGAGAATAATAACTATTCGCCTCTTTTACTCAGCCGAAGCTGTTCCGATTCAACCATTAACGAAGGCAGGCAGGCAGGCAGAACGGAGCACTGGGTTGAACCCCGCGCGCGAGCGCGCGCGGGCGGGTGGGCGGGCGGGCGGGCGGGCGGACGGGGTGGGGGTGGGGGAGAAACGGGCGCTTCAGGGAAGCTGCGGCGACAGGAAAAGCCCCCCCCCCGCTTCTTTGAAGCAGTTTCTTCCTGTGCTGGTGGAGGAGCGAGAGAGCGACTGAGAGAGCTGACCCAGAGAGAAGGACAGGCTTCGGTTGCTTCCTCCCTCCCCTTCTTTCATTTGTGTCCTTGATCCCCGATCCCAGCAGCATTCACCGAAGGCTTCTTAACATTATATCGGCGTATAACACGCATACATCATTTGCCCCCTATTTTCAGGGGGAAAAAAGTGCGTGTTATACGCCGATAAATACGGTAACATATTTTAGGGGAATCAAGCTTGGTTTCTCATTTAGCTAAAATGTTTGTGGAACCATACAAACTCCATAGACAAGGAGAATATAATTTAAAATACAAACCAGTGAGGGTGCAAAGATATAGGAAAGAAAATAAGAGAGTCTATTTTTCTTAGCAGGGAATTGGAATTTAGGCTCTTACAAACACCAGCAGGGGGGAAAATGCAGGTATTACTTGTCTGAAGTACGTGATTATAGTTAATTTTTCAAGAAGTTTTTAACTGTATGTTACCTGTCTATAAAAAAAGATATACTTTTACAAGTTTTTTTAGGTTTTTCAGTGTGTGGCAATTTTGCAATCATTAGTGAAGGTATATAGATCCATTTTCTCTTTGTCTCATAAATGCATTTATTTTCTAAGACAAACACTACTGTTGTTTAACTATTAATGTAATATACATATGTTTCACTAACACCATAAGTAATGGAAATATAACATATAGAAATCTATCTATATGTAGCATATAGGTAGATATAGATATATGTAGCATACATATAGATAGATAGATACATATTAGGAAGAAAGATATTAGAGGTTTAAAAATCCCCAAAATTGATCTGTGCTCCAGATGTGGTTGAATTAGAACTTAGAACAGCTCCAGCTCAGTGTGCCTAATAGTAAGTTTCTTGGGCTTGTAATTCAGGCTCCAGCAAACCACATATTTTTCTTCCAATTTAAAGCATTATGTTTATATCATTTTTCCCCCTTAGAACCCCATGTCAGAAGACAGAAATACACTGAAAGGAACAACAACTGATAAAGGTAGATTATATACAAGTGTGCTTGGTGTACTTCATTTCAATGTTCAATGCACACAAAATTCAAATTGATAACAGATATTATCTTAATTCGTTATTTGAATTTTGATCTTTAATATCAAAAATAATATGCATAAGGCTAAATTGATTTTATTATGCCTGAATCTAGAATTACCCTGTTTCTCCAACAATACGGCCTCCCCCAATAGGAAGTCCCAGCATGTTTTATAGGCATGAAATGAAATTAAGCCCCTCCCCCCAAATTAAGGCCTATATTAAAACATGCGAAATGGGGGGGAATGGTGGGGGGGGCTTGCCGTTAGGAAGTACTTTTGTTGCACACCCGGATATGGTGCCTGCATTGACCCCGACACGAAGTGCCCCACCAACGCTGAGATCAACATCCAAGCCATCGCCGCCTGCCCGCCCGAAGATGCAAGGGGGGGGGAATTAAGTCACCCCCGAAAAGACGGCCTAGCCATTTTTGGGAGGCTCAAAAAAAAATAAGACCCGGCCTTATTATATGAGAAACACGGTAGTTTTCAATATTAGTTGAATAAAAGTATTAGTAAACATCATTGATTTAAGTTCCAGTAGCATCTCCTTTCTATGTAATGCTTCCTGTGGTGATAACTTATGTACTGCTTCCTATGGTACCTTAACAGCCAATCTTCTTTTGTACTTCTACCATACATGGATCGTGTAATAGAATGAATCTTAAAATCAGGCTAAAGCTTTACCTTATCATACTATAAGTAAGCATGCCACCCAAATCTCAAATCAAAACCTTCAAGATCTAATACTCTGAGTTTTTCAAAGTTATCCAATCTTTTAACATATCAAACAATAGACTTAATAATACAATCTGAGGTTTGACAAGCCATCACTTTCTTTGGCATCTTGTAGGAACTTATATTCGATTTTTAGAGGATTATTTTTTTTGCCAAATAAATTTGGATATATTTTTCTGCCACTATTTCAAAGGAAGGTCTTTGATCAATATCAGTATAGTCTGAAAAAGAAATAACATTTTAGTGCTACATTCATCTTAATAACAGCAATTTCCTCATTAGTGATAAATACTTTTTCTTATCTGAATAAGTCCACTTTATCTCATTCCACATTTTAACATAACTATGTTTATATAACTTATATAACTATGTTTTTATTAAGAGTCATCACCAAGTACTTTACTTTTTTCACAACTTTAAATCCTATTTTATTTTCCAGTTTTCTCTAATCTTTGCCAGCATTGTCACCTTTTGTTTATTTATTTTCAACACCACCATTTCTACAATTTTTAAAGCTTCTTTATTACATGTTCAATATTCTCCAGCAGGTCTTGCAAAATGAAACCCAAATCATCGGGAAAGGTCCAAAGTTTATATTTATGTGCTTTAATTTGTCATCCCTTTACTCCATTATTTTGTCTAATGTTTTAGTTTCACAGTTCCAACATCAAGATGAATAATAAGGAGGCTAAAGGACACCCCATCTTGTTCCTTTCTGAATTTCACAGGATTTTGTCAGGTTTCCATTCACCATAATCCAGGTCTTCTGGAGTGTAAAATGGACTTCAGCCCCTATAAAAAAAATTCAGTCTAAAATCCATCTTTTTGACTACTTTAAACATAAAATCCCAATTCAAATTGTCAAATGCTTTCTTTGCATCCAAAAAAAGTTAACACAACCTGTTTGCCACTGTATTGTTATTAATGTTCAATTATATCCAAGACTATTCTATATGGTCCTTTAGATATATTTTGGGTAGAGAACCACATTGGTCTTCATGTATGTAATCCCTTAAAAGTTTTGAGCTAAGATTAAAGTTAACAATTTGTAATAATTATTAACAAGAGAAATTGATTTGTAATTTTTCAGAGAGATTAAATCTTTTCCCTTTTTTGTATTTTTTTATTTATGTGCCAACCATTTCCTTAGTTTATTTGCATGTTCAATGAATTTTTGTTTTGTATATTTCAGTTTCTTTTCAATGTCTCAGATAATCAACATGGAGAGTTGTTGTTGCAATAATTTTAATTGATTAAGTATATTGTGGTGATCTTGTGATTTTTTTTCTTTCTTTCAATTTAATCTCATCTAGCACTTTCTGAATTTTTCCATCTATTTTCTTCTTAATCTGTGTACTATACTGCCACCCCGGTTTTGTTGCCAGCCCAAAATTCATCCAGTGATGTGTGACAGCCCTGCCTCTGGCCAAATGCAGATTGCCCCATTTTCTGGGCAGGGAGCAGCTGCAACAGTGCGAGAGGCATGGGTGGGGGATCAGTGGACAGAGGGAGGGAGGAGGCACTTGCACACCCACTTCCAAAACAACTTGCAAGAATACTATAGAAATCATTCCAGGTAATTGCCCAGCATTAAAACAATCTCAAAGGCATTAAAATAAAAAGAGTGTGTGTGTGTTTGTGTGTATGTGAATATCTGTGTGTCTGTGCACTCTTTCCTTCCCCTAGAAGCCCTGTACTGGCTGTGCAGGGTATCCCCCATCCAGGACTAGAAGAAGGGGAAGCATTCTGTGTATGTTCAGAGGCTTGCTTCACCTCCAAAGGAGCAAAGAGACTCTTCTTTTTCTGCTCCTGAGTGGGCGAAAACCTGTGCAGCCAACTTGTGATTTTTAGGAGAAGGGAAGTGACACAAGACACACAGAGACACACTTTTTGTTTTAATGCCTTTGATACTCAATTAATGCTTGGCAATTACCTGGAATGGTCTCTACAGTAATCTTGGCAAGATGTTTCAGAAGTGGTTGTGCAAATATCTCCTCCCACTCTCCATCCACTGTCCTCCTTCACACCTTTCACATCGTAGCAGCTGCTCCCTGCTTGGAAAATGGGAGCGGTCTGTGTATGGCCAGAGGCAAGGCTTTTCATGCATCATTGGATGAATTCTGGGCTGTCAACAAAACCAGGTTGACAGGCAGGTAGGCAGTGCAGTGCATCAATCTGATGCTTGTGCCTAATTGTCCCATGTGGGGAAGCACCTCTGGTAATTAATGTTGTTGCGCATTGCCCTTGACAAGGCAGCAGGGAAAAATGGCAGGGCAAGAGTGGTGGGGAGGAGCACAGGTGAGTGGTAGAAGGGGAGGAATGCCCTCAGTGAATCATCTGGGCAATGGGGCTGGGGTTAAGTATCTGGGGCAGGGAGGGACGGGGATGGGTTCCCGCGGTAGTAGGCTGGGACTGGGGTAAAGTGGCCACGGCCATGTGGCACAGCCGATTGTCCCATTCCGGATATAAAATGTCCAAGTCTAATCAATGCTGTAGTATAGTTGACATCCTGACATTCCCATGCTAGTAGGAAGGGATAACTAATGAGAAGTCTATATAGATGGGTTTATCAAAAACATCCCAACATCATGCTGCAATTCATGCTGTGTCTACCTACTCCTTTATCTTGTCTTTGTAATGTGGTAAACCAAAGACAAATAAGCTGTTGTCTTGCTTTTGCTCAGGGCTGTTTAGGAAACTGCTGATGCTTTGTTAGAAATCTAAAGTACACTTTAGTTATTTGTTTCTTTAATTTTTGATGTATCTTAAAATAAATTGGTTGCTTTGGGTAAGTATATTTTATTTTTTTATGAAAATAATCTGATTGTATTGAATGTTTCATCTCCTAATTCTAGTCACTCTTAACCCAACAAACTTAACTACTGTATTTCAGATGTTCCACTTAAAGCAATGTTTAAATAGCCATGTGTTTCTTCTTTTTGTTGCCCCATCAGGAGTGAATGAATCATTACTCATTTCACGGAAAATGGTTGGACCGGTTCAAAAAGCATCTAGATTCAAAGAACAGAGATTTAATGGCAAAGGTGTAAGTTATCTGTCCTATTTTTTAAAATAAATGTGCAAATTTGAGATATAATGTAAGTCTTTCCTTACTTGCTGAATCCCATATAATGTTTTATGTGTTGGGTGCAGGTGACTGTATGTGCATATGTGTGCAAAAATATCCACAATAAATTTGATATAAATTCTTAACTGTAGGGTAAGGTCAATCAGTAAGTGGTTAAATGTAAAATATACTGTATGTTAGCAACCAAGAAACTGATCATGTATATTCCTAATCTAGGTTTCTTGTGGAGGCAGGGCAAACTAACATCCACAGTTTTCTCTGCTCTGCAGATTTGTGGGGGCATTATAGACAAAAAACAGCTGGTGTGAGATCCAGATTGCTGAAATCCTCTCTGTTACTGAGAGACCTAGAGATTAAACATACTTACTCAAACAGCTGATATTTTTGTGAGTAGATAGTAGATAAACAAACATTTTTACAGTCAGTTGCAATCAGCTGGGAGTCATATATATTATGTTATGTTATATTATATTATGTTATATTATATTATATTATATTAATTATATTATATTATATTATATTATATTATATTATATTATATTATAT